ACGTCACAGATTCTAATGACTCTGGTGCCCAGGGCGACCTTTAATTATGATATTTTTGTTCTCTTATACCTCAGTCATTAATGTAGAAAAACAAATTAGTTTATTTTTGTGGACCACAGCAGATTCATAAATTGTCTTCCAGTTTCTAGATGTCTGAATCATACTTCACTCTGACCATCTACACACGCTTCATTCATTTTTCCTGTTGGTACACATCTGCCTGCCTCACGTGTGGCTCCTGAATTCGAGACCTCAGCGTACACGATCTGCCTTAAAACCGTTTCTGTCTTATGGGCTCTTTGCTCCAAGAGGTTTAACCGTGTTTTGTTTGCAATTCACATTACTTTCTCAACAACAACAACTCCTATCGGTCAGGATCTCGTGATTACGGGGCAGTGTTTTAGTATAGAGGACAAGGACCTTATTTTAAAGGCTGTGGGATAAACCGTGGGGACTTGCGTGAGTGAGGGGTTTGGGGAAGGCCCTCGGCGTCTGAGTGTTTCTGAGCCCCGAGGCCATGTCTAAGACCGCTGCCCCCTGCCTGTATCACTCTTAGCAAAATTCTTCTCTTTTAACAGACAAAACAAGAAGTCAGGCACTTGGAAGCATTTGGTACGTTTTATGCGGTTTTCGTTCTCAGCCCCTTGCCCCTTCCCCCTCCCCCCCGCCCCCGGCCCACTCCATCCGGAGACGAGAACTGGTCCTCCAAGTGTGTTCTGAGCTCATGGGACCACACAACACAACCACCCACTGAGACGTGCACAGAGTGTCTGGGGATGACCTTCTGTATGGGGGCTAAGGACAGCCAAAATAAAACCAAATAAATTAAAACTGCAAGGAAAGCTCCAAGCAAAAGAAAGCTTAGAAACAAACCAGTAACGTAAAGCCCGTGGCAGGTGAAGTGAGTGAGAAGGCCTCTCCCACAACAAGAGCTGGGGCGGAGAGGGCTGGCGGCGGGGGGCTCCGGGGAGCGCCCGTGCCCCCGCCGGGGCCGTCCGACCCGAGAGGGGCACCCGGTGAGGGCGACTGGAACATGACTCAACATAAAAAATGGTGCAAAGGAAAAGAAGCATTGCAAATAAAAAAAGACATGTAACATGTGCCTACCATTTTCCAGATAAGAAGGGGCCGTACCTTCTGACGGGTCTAGACGGCGGGCCCGCCGCCCGTGTTTGGAGTTGTTGTGCACAAACATGTTGTCAGACACGGCCAGCACGTGGCCGTCCACGTTGACTGTTGTCGACACAACAACCTGCAGAGACGAAGTGGACGTGAAACGAGTTGGCAAAGGGAAGCCCTGTGGCCGAGGGAACCGGCGTCCGCTCCTGGGGGGCCTCCGCCGCGCACCCCCCGCAGCCCTGGCTAATGGGGGGCCCGTGGGCTGTTTTGTTTGGACTCAAGACTGCTTCTCTCCAAAACCTGCCCCATTTGAATCACAGTTTCATCTCCTATTATGCTAACGAGTGAGTTCAATTCAGAGAAATATTCCTCCAGCCATTAGCTTCAGAAACACCCCTCCAGCCGCTCATTTTAAAGCTGCTGTTTTGATTGATCTGTTCACATATTGATCGGATAGTTTATCTAATTAAAATGAGTTCACTTGAGACTGTCCTCCCTTGGAGCACTGTGAGGATTCAGAGTTGCCAAAAGCAGGCTTCCTAAATCAGAAGCACTCACTACCCACAGTCCGACATCCCTGGGTCGATGTTACAATTACATCCAATGTCTGCTAAGGAACTTTTCTGCATCTGAAAAGACCAAGCTGAGTATCAATGGTGAAAGTGTTGTCAATCCAAAGCAAGAATCTTTCTCAGGTTCACCAGCAGAGGACGGCAAGGACCCTGGTGCCAGTGGAATGGCCCCTTCTGCTGGACAGATGCCCTTGCCGGGGTCACCCCTGCCCAGCCCCCAGACACCTTCCCAGGTGGGCTTGTGACAAGCATCCTTTAATGGACTCCCTACCCAGCCTTAAGATCGTTCTTAAACAGAGGTGAGCCCACGCGGTCCATTATTTGCCGGACAGCCGACATGAGTCGCAAAGGCGTGAGCCCTGGTCCAGTCTGGGCCTCACAGCAGGGCTCGTGCGGCCGAAGCCCGCATCTGGGGTGCAGGGAGCCTGGCTCTTTGCCACGTGTGGGCAGCGGGGAGGGCCAGCACCACCCAGAGCAGCAGAGCCCCCCACACACACACAGCTGGAGCAGGAGAGGAGGGACCAGGAGGCCTCCCAGCCCACGTGTGCCCTCCCTGCCTGGTCTGCACATGCCCAAACATGCCATGTAAAATGACTACTGAAAGCCAGAGCTACAGCAGCCCTTAGTTAATAATGCATCAACCCTGGTTCATTCGATGTAGCAAATGTACCCCACCAACGCAAGACATTAACAACAGGGCCAACTGGCAGGGAGGGTGTGCCCAGGGGGATGTCCGGGAATTCTCGGAACTTTCTGTGGATTCTTCCTGAAAGCCCAACACTGCTCTTCAAAAAAAAGTCTATTAAAAAAAAAAAGAATAAAAGTGATCAAAGATTTAAAAATAAGTAGCATTTTTAAGGAATAAAAAAAGGTCGGGCACCTGGGTGGCTGAGTCGATTGAGCATCCGACTTCGGCTCAGTCATGATCTCACAGTTCGTGGGTTCGAGCCCCACGTCCAGCTCTGTGCTGACGGCTCAGAGCCTGGAGCCTTCTTGGGATTTTGTGTCTCCCTCTCTCTCTCTGCCCCTCCCCCACAGGTGTTCTGTCTCTCTCTGCCTCTCAAAAATGAAGAAAACTAATAATAAAAAAAAAAAAAGGTCAACACTAGATACATACATATGAATACACGGGGAATTGATGGTTTTTATAAAAAAAACCTCAGGCCCACAAGAAAACTGTAAAGCAGGGACAGCACCCACCACATCCCCCAAAACTCCCTCATGAGGCACTTTCCTTGATGCTTCCTTCCCAGGACGCCTCTACAAGACTGCGAGAGTCTCCATAATATTGCCCCCCCCCCCCGAGCCTTAAAACACTGTGGGTCCCGCCCTCGGCGTCCCTACGTCCAATGTCAGATGTGTCATCACCTCCTTGATAGCCACCACCCATGGGGTGGGCACCTGCCGCATCCCCAGGATGCAGGGCCACCCCGCGCCTGGGCTGTGAAGCACCTGTACCTGTATCCTCATCTAAGCACGATGCAAAGGGCCACGTAACTAACTCTGAGCCACAGACTTGACCGTCCTCAGGCTCTTAGACCATGATACGTTAAAGAAGCAAGGTAAAAATAAAAATAAAAAAAGGACAGTCTTGGCTCTGTCATCTCTATATAGGTCAGTCACCAAGGGAAAAGTGTGTAGTTCAGCAGAGGAAGCAGACAAGCTGTGTTTTGTCTCTTGGCCAGGGCCAGCCCTGCAGTATACGTACAGAAAGGTGCTGAGTTTGTGAAGCCAGCTGGAGATATTGTGTAAGCCCTGACACACTCTTAAGTCCGGTTAAACCCTCTGCAAGGTGGGGAGATGAACTAAAGAGAGCAGAGCCCATCCTTCTAGTAACTGTGGGCTCACTGGCAACGGATGGCATGGTGGCCAATGGCGAGACAACGCATGACCTCCGCTCTGCTTAGACGGGCCAGTATCACCATGAAGCCTGGCGCAAGAAGGTGGGAGCAGGCCCAGATGTTTGCAAGAGACACTGTCCCCCACCTGCAGAGCATGACTGTGAGCCAGCCCACAGACCCTTCTCTGACTGGCTGATTGGCTGTAAGACAAATCCACGTGTCCTAAAAGCCTGGAAGGTAAGTTAAATTTCTAAAAATGACCTTGAGCGGTTTGATGGTAAGCCATCCAATGTGGCATTCATTTCCACTCGCTGCCAGATTCTTCTCTGGTTAGTAGGGACTAACAGCACTTCTGTGTCCCAGCCCAGAATATTTTTACAATTAAATTCAGCAAGATGATCCATCATATATGGTGTACCTTTCACCCCAAAGTAACCTCCTAACCACTCAAAAGGCAAGAAAATCATGGACTCAGCGATAACCCATCCAGCTCTCTATCCTCTCTCCTGGAGATGAAGTCCTCTGAAGCAAACCAGAATATGAGTTAGCCTGCACCCAGGAACACAGCCTAGCAATCAGGCACGGGCTGAAGGAAGCAAGAACAGATCAACCCTGAGGGAAAGGAAACAGCTGGGAGAACATTCTGGAACTTGTAAGAGGCCTGCATCAAACAGGCGAGGCTCGCTTCATGAGGAGGGCCCAAAGTCTCAGGCTTACCCAACAGGCTGTACTATGGCTCTGCCCTGTGAAAACTCCATCCATCCATCCCTAAAACGACGACCTTGAGCACGGGCTCCAAGTCCAAACCAGTCGTACACGACTATGTACAACTGAGGAAACAGGCTACGTTACGTACTAACACGGAGAGGACTTTGAGGACATTCTGAAATACACCTACAAGACTTACCATGGTTGAATGTAAAAGGGAACCCGACTTAACCTACAGCTCTGATAATTCCAATTTCCAGATGTCTGGAAGCCCAATACGGTGGGCAGGCACGGTGTGACCACCCTGAGAGGTGCACCTTGCAAAGCCAAGGTCCCATTTTCAGAGCCAATTTCAATTTGCCATTTAGGTATGCACAGATGCCATGAATCTGGCATACTGAAGACGCTGGATTGTTTTTAAAGCAACTCGATTTAAATCTTTTTCTCAAATGAACCGATTCTGGTTTGCTCCCAAACCCTTGGAGAACTAAAGACTGTTTTCTGAACAATCACAACATCAGAGAATTCAAATTTCACGTTAAAAGTGCGGACCGCGGCCCGCGTGTCTTTGAGAAACGAGTACCTGGAATCTCCGCATATCTCGAGGGTTGCCTGCATTCTTCAAACAGTTCTGATTGCACTTGAGGAAAAACTTTAGAAAGAATCTACAAAAATACAAAAAACGGATATTTGTTAGGGTTATCAGACAAACTCACAGACTTTTAGAAAGACGCCGTTGCGCGGGGAGTAGTGAAGGCTACCCACGACCGCCCGCTGCTCGCTGCCTGCAGGGGGCGCCCGATTAGCACGGCAATGAATCGTCGCCTGCAGGGGGCGCCATCGGGAGACGACGCCGGCGGCGTGGGCAAGGGCGCCCCGGGCTCTGCCGGCCAGCGCAGAAGGTGTCCACACACACAAGCAGTGACTTACATCTGTCTTGACATTATGGGTCTCCAAGCTTTATGATAACAGCTGTGACTCGGACTGGCCATTTCTTTCCTGGACCTTTGCACGTTAAGCACTGGGGAACTGTCCGCCCCAGATGGGGCTGCCAGCTTCAGCAAATAAAAACACAGGATGCCTGGTTACATTGGCGTTTCCGGTAGACGACGAGTAATTTTTTAGGACAGGAACATCCCAAAGCACACCGATCCTAAAAAACTGCTCTTCGCCCATAACTCAGATGTAACTGGGTGCGCTCAACTTCATCTGGCAACCGTAACCCCCGAGGGCGCCACCGCCCAGCCAGACACACTTCCAAAGGCGTATTTTCGGAAGTTACAGTGGGTACAACTCTTACGAAAAGAAAGGATTTGGGGGTGAGCTTTAAGGGCTGCGATAACGTCTGTGAAAAGTCTGTGTGTGTGTTTAGGGAACTAATCGATGATTTGGGGATACAACAATGAAACCGTGGCTCAGGGGGAGAGCGGGGAGACGCAGCCGCTAGCCTGGCTCAGAGGCAACAGCCGTTTGTACTCCCCCCACCCCCAGCCCTGCCCTTGTGCTCCGAGGCATGAAGATTCAGGGGTCCTGACAGGGTGCTGAGATGCTGTGACAAAAATCTCATCACGTTGTCCCCTCCATGCCCGCATGCTCGCTCACAACAGAAGTTCTAGCCCACCACGTGAGCCCACAGACGCTGGGAGACCTGGCTGGAGCACATACCCCGGGGGAGACTGCACCCCTCTGCCTCCGGGTACAAAGCCACGCCCACTGTGGGCGGGGCGGAGGCGGGGTCTCTGTGCTGACACGCATGCTCTCTACCAGTGTCTGAGCATCCTGTCCCGCAAAGTTAACCAACAAAACTCCCCTCTCCGTTCTGTCCAAATATCCCCTGTCCTACCTGAGGCTTATTCATGTTTTATGAAGTTTCACATGATTTTCTTGAACTCAGCCTTAACGGTCAAGATTCTTTGTTGACAATTATCACATCAGAAAATAAAAAGACTCCACCGACCAAGATTCATCCCTGCAGCTGCATTCCCAACGTATCCCGGACGCCTTTTCCGCGCGGAAGAAGAAACCCCAATTGATGGGAAAAAGAATCGTGGCCACTTAATTAAATTTTCTTACATACCACCAGGCCTCACTATTTTAGGCCAGAATTTACATCTTTTATTAACTCCCCTCACCTATACACTTAGCTCACAGTGCCTCTCAGTACCATCTGCCATCAGCATACAGTGAGTCACTTGATATTCCACCCACCAATTTTTCCTAACAACCACTGTGCAATTAAACTCCACGCGCTCTGCAGCGAGGTAAATTAGGCGCACCTGCGGCCACACTGCATTTGAACTGCATCAGAGAGGCCCTAACAAGGTGAGGGCGTCACAAACTTATCGTCCAGTCAGGCAATTAGGTTTTCACTTCGGGGACAGCCACATGGTGCAATTATGCCACACATTACCACCCGGCTAATCTTCTGAGCAGGTGCCGGCCTGAGAAGCTCTCATCTGGATGGAGCCGTCTGCGGGAGCTTTTTTTGTGATGCGAAAGAATTTTTTTTTTTTTTCCCCCCCCCCCCCCCCCTCCAGAAGAGGTTTCTTTAAATTCCTCGATATCTTTTTAGGCGGCTCACCCTTCCCCTGCGAGGCAGCAGAGTGTTCTGAAGATGGTCTAAATAGCCACTGGCCGTGAGGAGGGTGAGCTGGGCCTGGCGCAGAACTTTAGCTGAACAGAGTTGGGTGCTAGGCCCCGTGGACAGCCGAAGCATTGCCGGGGATGGGCGCACACATGCTTGCTTGGGATGTGGCGCCGGAAGTTTTTGCTTCCAACCCAGTATCTCGTGGGCCGTGGACGCACACGGGGGAGGTGTGTCGTGCACGGCCCCCGAGGGTAGAGCCCCTTCCAAGAGCTCTGGTCCCGATCACAGAAAGTAAGGCCCAACATCTAGGGCCAGACAGAGGAAGCCTCAGCCGGGAGGAAGGGCAGCCTCGTGCTTACCGTTTACCCTTGTTGGGGTTACAAGGCGGATGCGACAGACGAGCCAGTGCTTGACCACAGACACGGTGCAAGCACGCCCAGAGCGCAGGGACGCTCCCACCAGCCAGGGCTCAGCGAGACGCTGGGCGGACGTTTGGGGAGGGAGAGGAAACCCAACGCCCTACACATGAAGTCAAATGGCAATTCTCACCCCTTACTCAATTACCCTGTAATTGGCTTTTTCCTAAGAAATATCTGACAACCACTTTACATATCTTACTTCCAGACTCTGGTATACAAAGGATTTAATACTCTTGTTATGAAGGGAAAAATCTTTCCTATGTCAGAAAATCTTTGGCTTTAACACCAATAAACTCTTTATTACTGCTAAACATGGATTTGCTGCTCGATGGCAAAGAGGCGATAAAAATTCTAACCTGTCATTAGTACATTATGCTTAATTGTGTACAGTACGCTTCTCCATTGCATCTGTTGGCCCATCATCAAAATGACCATTATGTACACTAATTCCCTGACCCTGTCTTTATTTCCCTAAAGAGCCATCATCTTTCACAGTAGGTACCAGAGTAAATCAAGCTTGAAATATGGGCTTTATTTACTTGTTTCTCTCCGGCAGGAGTGAAGGCAACCGCCCAGGGCAAACTGTTTCACATCGGCAGAAACTCCCCAGCAATGTTCTGCTCGGAGATATCAGACAAGACCCCGGACAGTTCTCAGTATCGATGAGAAGGGGGAGAGGTGCGAGCTCATTACTTCCGAAACCAGGTTTTCCACTTTTAGAGTGTGCAGGGATTAGGAGAGAAGGCCACCCGAGCAGGCTCCAGCGGGCTCCCTCCCGCTCGCCAGCACCTGGGAAGGTGGGCGAGCGGCCGCTGCCTGGGGGTCGGGACGGGACAGTCCGCTGGCTCCAGCAACGGGTACCTGCCTGCGGTCTCTGCCGCCAGCTCCAGGGCGGGCCCTCACGTCTGCAGGGGCCGCTACCTGGCAAAGCCCGGCCATGGCTGCACCTGCAGGGAAAGTCAGGTTTGGCCTTGGCCGCATCCATGCCGGCATCCTCTCCAACAGCCACAGCGCCACCAGAAGTGCCACGTGGTGGACGTGGACGCCTTAATAAGTGGGGCCACAGCAAAACACGGGATCAAGCGTTTTAACTGGAGCCCACCCCCAGCAGCCCATGACGAGGGGCAAGCCCCCCACTGCAGTAACTCATTTCAGAGTCCGCTCCACTTCTGTGTGTTTAAGCTATGAATTAGTTCATTTATATTTACTTTTATGAAGCTGATTAACCAGAGCTGCTCTATCTGATGAAAATCATTTTAATTGTAGTGTTAGGCTCCTGTGTAATATCCATTACATTATGAACTGTTTAAATTCTACATGGGCATTGCATAAATTGGCCCTTTGTGTGCGCGCAGGCAATTAGGACAGACAGTTCTCCTTTAAACGGCTACAGAACTTTGTGGTGGTGTTCAGGACAATCAGAAACAAAGGAGGCTGTTTAATTGTAATTTAATGGAATATCAAGGAGTCCGTGGCATTAGACGCTGGCAACAGAGAGCAGGAGAGAAAAATTAACTGCAATTATGTTTGATTAAAGCTATCCTTCTCAATAATCAGCGGTCCTGACAGGCCATGGGGCTCTCGTGGGTTCCAGGATGGCAAAAGGTGTCGAGCAATATTAGGGCCAATAAAGGAGATATTAGCATAGCTAATTACAACCCTGCAAAACCTGTAAGGGGGCCTCTGTGTATTGTAATGTGTGAAATAATTGGACAAGGCCGTTATCAATTACATAAGGAATGAATTTGGTTTGTCAGAGAAAAGCTGATGAGATGCATTTCATCTGACACCATTCCCTTCCCTCATGTTTCTAGGAGCTAAGAACTTGCCCACTTTTATCAAAAGCTGCAACTTACTAGTGGCCAAATCACTGATAAAATTATCTTGCCAGCAAGTGTTAGGTAATTAATACCACTCACCCTCACCGCCTTCCCTGCACTGCCGCTTCTCACCTAACTGAAGCCACTAATCATGTAATAATGATTTTTTTCCCTCTGGTCAAAGGAGAAATAGATTGTCTCCTTAGAAATGCAGTGGGCTTGGCGTGCGCACCCTGGTGATTGAGGAGAAAAAAGGAACTCGGAGCGGTTTTAATTGCTTGCCTTTTGCACGTGGGTATCACTTGTTTGAAATTACCTCTTCCCGGCATTTCGGGAGCCCTATAGGTAGGGATTTTTTTTTTTTTTTTTTTTTTAATCACCAAGTTTTAGACTCTTCCGGGGCTCGGTCTTGCCAGGGCTTGGACACACGAGTGACAGCGTGCTGCAAGGTGTGAGCCTGGCGGCCCCGTCCCAGGGTTCCTCAGGCCACACCTTAGCACAGGCTGAGCTCCGGGCTCAGAGCAAAGAGGTCTGGCTTCCAACAGGCCCCTCCCACACCTCAATCCCAGCCTCTGTCCCAGAGGCACGACCTCCTCTTCTGGCCCTCCTCTATGGACAGGACGGGAAATCTGAGTCAAGAGTGAAAAATATTGATATATTATTTTGGTGGGGGGTGGAGTGAGGGGGTACTCGCTTTTCCATTTTAAGGCCAGGCTCTTAATAAGCTGCAAATGAACACGGCCACGGATAGACCTCCATGCCATCAATCAGAAAACCCAAAGCATTCGTGTGTAAATCATGGCGCTGACAGCTTCTGGAGGTTACCCAAGAACCCCATT